TATCATACTTTATAATATTTCTAAAAAATCGAAATTCGAATAGAAAAATTCGAGATAATAATTTGAATACAGAAAAATATAAATAAATGAATAAATATATCACTACCGGTATTTATATTTATATATTATTATAGAGTCTTTATATATTTCCCTCAAATTATTCTAATAAATCGAAAAATATATATTTTTTAAAGAAAATCAGATAGATATTAATCTTCTAAATATATTATATTACCCTTTTTATTGCCACTATTAATTCCAAATCGATTAGGCCTCATTAAATGCGAAAATCAATTTTCGCAAAATTTAGTGCCTAGATATTTCGAATACAGAAATCTAAATATTTTTAAAATTATGAATTAATTATAATATAGATTCGAATTATTCAAGATTTCCCATCACTTTTCAATATCCTCTATTTCGATATACCGATCAATATATAATCTAGCATATTACGATTACTATTCAAATCATGAATTCATCTATCTTCTTCAATTCTTCTAATTTATATTATTTAATATTTCGATTTTTATGTAGAATTTGACTTATAAATAAATCTATATATGAACTGAAAAATTCAAGTCAATAAAAAAGTAATCATATATAAGCTTTGCTAAGTAATTATAATATTTCTCTTCGAAATTATTTAGCAAATCGCTTCTCTTTTTATAACCCATATCGATCCAATTCAATTCTATCGACTTCTCCCAAATCTTACGATATAAATTTATGTAGAGCTTTCCTAGAAAAATCTCATCTAGTTTTCTAATATAAATCCCTATACGGTATAAATCCCTATATGGTATATGCCTTAAACTTCAGGATCATTTCGTCCGCACGGAATATCATAAATCATCTTGGCACCGGGCTCCTGTAGTGTCGCCACCATCCTCGTCAGCAGTTGCACGTACCGGAGGGGGATTATTCCGATAACTGCTAAACCCCTTAACCCTGACTGTGAGGCTCTTCTTGAGTTCGGCGTCTTGGTTCCTGCGCTTCAACTAATTTAAGGATTTTTGGGCTGGTCCTTGTGAGCCACACTGAGTACACAAATGTACCCATACACACATAAGCAGCATGGTCCCAAAATAGCTCCGTGCAACCGAAATGCCACGCGATCGTTGCCTCCGCAACCCATGACTCATGACTGTTAAGGACTTCCATCCTTCCGTTTGTGCGCATGTCCCCTCCTCAAGTCAGGTTCCACAATTGTAGGTGCAGGCAGCACCGTTTGAGGCTATGGCCAACGATTTACAAGTGAAGGGTCAACAGGAAATAAAATCAACCATGGGTGCAAAGGGTAAGCAAGGTGTGCAGACTTATCGGACTTTTGCCTCCGGCAGCTTTCCAGGTTAGACGCTCGTGCCAAGGCTAACAAGACCGTGGCGCCTCGCTTCGCGGAAAAAGCCGGGGAAAGTTGCAATGATAGGGACCTGTAGAGGAGCGGCGACAAAACAAACATTCACCATGCGGACGTGAGCACTTCAACCCCAACCGTAATCGATTTCAAAAGTCACCTTGGCTACTTTCCCTCCCACAAATGTAAAGCCTTCGCAGCTTCGCGGCGCAAGTGCTGTATCAAGCCTGAAGCTGTACAGGGGCATCGTTGCAAAACTGAGAAACACCTAAAGGCACGTTCGCGGGCCTGCCGGCATTGGCCAGACTCCAAGGCTAACAAGACCATGGCAGTCAAGCAACTCACCACGAGGTGCGACGTCCGATTCTAGCCAGAAGCCAACAGTGCAACACGTCTTGAAATCAGATTAACCGGTGTGCCCCATGCAATTTCACATGCACTCTTGTACTGCTGCCTGTCTAGAACTGCTGCTTGGTTGTTGGGTCTCCGCCGTCTCCTGAAAAACTCACCAGCCCTCGGCGTACAGACTACAAGTGCAGAGGCTGATGAGGCCTCCTGCTTTGGAGAGGTCACTGCTCGTAGCTTGGAAAGCCTAGGCTAGAGTTGGTTCGCAGGTTGGTCTCTACTTCGATCGCGGCTTCGTCTTCTTCTCTCTCCTCATCCGGCTCACCATGTGCGTCCCGGGGGATCGCAGGCCACAGACGAGGGCGGTACTTGTTAGAGAGACCGCGTATAGCACGGTCCAGCAGTGGCTCGTCCGACTGCAGGGCTAGGATGTGCTCTTTGCCGAAATCGAGAGTATCTGCGCTGCCTAAGCTTGTGGGATGTTGCCATCGAGCTAAAGTGAAAGGAAGGACTGAGGCTACTTAATTTACATGAGTTACGTATAATATTACCTAGATGTGGAGGGTCGAAGCCATCGAGTTTCCTTGCGAAGACAACTCTCCCAAATGTGAAGGTGTAACCTCCGACCTATCATGGCCCCTGTTTTTGATACGCAGAGCGGCTTTCTCTCGTCAGCTCCAGGAGCTGCATCTCTGTGAGGGGCACGAAGAGGGCTTTGAATGGCGACCAGTCCGGTGCTACCTCGCATTCGGCATCCCGCACACGGTCGTGGAGCTCTTGCAGCGGCCCTTCAGCATCGAAGAGCAGCTCATTGACATGAGGAGCGTTGGCCTTCCTAGTAAGCCTAAAGCAAATGACACCATCGGGGCTCAAGGGCGGCGGATCGGCCCGGCTGTTGCGAATTGCCACCAGCAAGTCGTCGGTCTTTGTATCCCGGCCTCCCATCTCCTGATCAAAGTCTGCTGGATCTGCCTCGCCTGCCGGCGCATCAGCACGCGTCGATACCTCGCCCTGAGGCTGCTGGTTTTGCTGCAGCAGTGGCGCCGCAAGACGGTCCACCGGTCCTTCGTCCTCTCGCTGAGCAGCGCTCGCTGCCTGCAAGACTTCCTCCTCAAGGCCCTCCAGTACGGAAGCAAGCTGAGGCCTCTCTGCAGCGAAGGAGAGTCCCAAGTTCACCAAGGCTGCCGGCACCTTCTTGCACCGGCCCCACATGAGCAGGAGCTGGTAGACACCCAGCCCCGTGGGAGCAACAAGACGCTCAGCACGAGCGAAGGCGACGCGAAGTGCTGCCCCCGCAGTGGCATGGCGCTCCTCCAGCGGTACAACTGCAACACTAGAGTCTATGCGAGCAACATTCTCGCACTCAGCGCAAAGCCAAGGGCCGATGTTTGGCAAATATGCGTTGCGGGTCCATACTGTGGCACACGTGGCGCCGGCTGATGCAAGCAACTCTGCACATGCTGACTGCCCTTGATATACAGCCACATCCAGCAAACGAACAGGTCGCAGTGACCATGGCCCTGCATGATAATGCTGCCCATCCCGCGAAGCTTTCTGTTCGCAGCTTTGGCAGAGAAACACTATAAAGCGAAACTCTGCCAAGGGCATGTTAGCTGCAAGAAAAAGGTTGAGTCTGTCCATGCAGAGCTGCGGCAGCGGCATGTGTCGCGCGTCGAATTTGCGCAACGTCTTCCCCGAGTTTGGTCCTTTCGGGATCCACTGGCTCCGGCCTTGTGGGAGCACGTGGGCCAAACGGTTCCAGAGCTGCAGGTCGCCAGACAATACGATGGCTTCACGCAAAGGTACGTCAATACCTATGTTGAGGCCCTGCAGGGCTATGCCTGAGAGCAGGGCGGCTGCCATGACATCGGGTTCCAACTCCAATGGTTCCATGCCAGGCCTGTCATCGAAAAGATCGTCGGACCTCCATCGCCTCAGAGGCTTCCGTCCACCACATCGGTGGGCGCAACGCTGGGCCAAGTCTGCATCTCCAGTGAGGATGGCCAGGTCCAGCAGCCGCAGCATGGCCGCCTCGGAGATATGGAGGTTCTTAGACCCTTCGCCCGAGCATTCGCATCCAGCACCGCACTTGCCACGGGTCGCCTCACCGCGGTGTCGGCACTTTTGATTGCGTCGGAAAGCAAAGCATCCCAGTCCCTCTCCATTCACCGATTCCGATGTCCGATCCCCAGCAACAGGATTGGCATGTCTTCCGAGCGCTTCCGCAAGCGCAATCCAGACAATCGTCGTCTGAGCCACGGGCGTAGGGTCCGAGGTGCCAGACCTCCAACCTGCAGCCAGGTACCCCATGGGACAGCAAGGCCATCGCTGTGTCGTCGTGGTTGAAATCCAAGCACAGCTGAAACAAGTGGGGTTCGTGACTAATCACTTGCATGTCACCAGCAATGATGGCCCTTGCGATCTGGAACTCCAGAACGTCCTCAATCTCGCCAGTGCTGCCGTAGCGAATGAACCGTGATGCCGCCATGCGCAATGCAGAACCGCCAGACCTGTACAGCCTATACCCCTGCGCCGCTCGTCAAGAACACGCGGGATGCAAAGACGCTCGTGTAATCAGCAGCATCCAAGTTGACTCCATATTTTGACTTCAGAAATCTGCTCTTGTGCACACATACAGGCCTACATGCATGCGTGCACCCGTACATACATGCACTTTCCTACCTACCTCCCTACCACACCTACCCACCCACCAACGACTGTCGCTCAATCCATTGCGTTGTCTCAACAGCCAAGCGCATTCAGCGCGAGACAGTCCTCCATGTACATGCATCTCGGCTGAAAGTGCGGATGTGTTACACCGATATCTTGAAACGATTGTTGGTCTAGCGATATGAATGACAAGGCTCCGTCCAGGATATCGATCGTCAACCTAAGAAGGGCTTCAACCTTAGAGAACGCACCCAGGACAGCCTTGAAACTCCGTAGCGCCTCATAGCATCGGGCACACGGCTGCGGTGTGTAAGCTATCATGGCAGGTGGCCGGTTGCACCGCCGAGTCTTCTCAACACGTCTGTGCGAAAATGCTGCAAACTCCATCTTGTCCAGTCGTACTTCCGCCAGGAACATTGGCATGCAGCTAGAGAGCCACGACGGCAAAAGTAGGTCACTACTGCATATGCTTCCAAACTGCGATCTTCAATTCTGGTCAACCCTGGAAACCTCCCTCATCTCACACTAAGCCCCCAGGCGCTAACTTCTCTACACCGATCCTTCCCTGGGCTCCAGAGTTACTTGAATTTTAGTAGTAGATTACGAACCATCTTATATGTCACCCAGCAGCCATCAATGTGAGGTAGCTGGAGCCCCAGGGCTTCGATTTGTTTGCAGGCGCGCCTCTTCCATCGAAAGAGCCTTCGGAAGTTTCAGGAGACCCCCGCTCAAGTGGCGAGGTTCCCTCGATCTTACGCCATGCGAGCGGTCGGCGGCAATCTGCTTCGATCCACGGGCACATCTTAGGATTGAAATTGCCTGGGCATTATAGATCTGCCAGATTGTTAGATTTTGTGGCAGATGTTTCAGATCCAATGCTTCGGCATTCAGGAGTACCTATGCACAGAAGGGCTTTCTGAAAAGACTGGCGTGTGGCATGGGCCCCTGGAGTTGGCAAGCTTGCGCGTGCGTGTACCGACTTGTAAGTTTCAACCGAACGGAAAAACCAAACCCCGAACTTCAGCTCTTCAATTTTACAAGAATTTCATTAAGAAATGGTATTGAGGAGGGGATCTTGGATCAGCTATAGGATGGGACGCCATGTTACACAGGCATGGGCTGGTTGAATCTCTCTCCGATTGGTCGAGGCATTGAGGCTCTATGCTTAAGGTGCGTTTCTGGGTTCAGGGTTTAGGGTTCAGGGTTTAGGGTTTAGGGTTCAGGGTTTAGGGTTCAGATTTCTTGCGCCAGTCTACAGTTGCCTCCAGCGGCTTCGCAGGCAAAACTGATGGTCCTGCGCTGCCCAAATTCGGCAGCAGCAGATTTGCCCTTTGGGCAGTTAAGCTTCAAATGAGAGCCACCGGCAGGTGTCTCAAAACATCAGTGGGGTGCATTGTCATGCGCTCTTGTGACGCTCATGATCCGCACCGAGCTCGGAGTAACACACAAGCCGCAACAATGCACTCGTACCACGAGAGTCGCACGTCGTAACCTGAAAATGATACAGCAAGATTGCCACTTCCTGATGCTCTCAGAAGACATCTTAAACCGTGGAGAGCGAGTAAAGCTAATACCAGCAACAGCGTTAAAGAGCACATTCAGTCTTTCTCTACACCCTTACATCCACACCTTCCTAAAAACACACACACACACACACACACACACACTCACTCTCTCTCTCATAATTGAATGTAAGAAAGAAAACACCAAAGACTTTGAAGCCGCACAGCCTAGTTACAAGGCTTGCCCCAAAGATTCGTCAAGTCCGTGAGCTCTCAAAAGATGGATTTGCTAAACCTGAGGACTGACGATGTGCAGGCCCGAACAACATACTTCAACCAGAGGCAGACAAGCCTTGGCGGGTTATTGTCTTGATCTTGGTCTGCATCATGGATTAGACAGGAACTTGGAAATTAAATACTCTGTCTCACGTTCTGAGACTAGAGCCCCTCCACCTCCTAGAAGGAACCGTACACCCTTTCCCTAAACCCTACACCCTAAACCCCAAACCCTAAACCCTAAACCTTAAACCCTTCCTGTAAAGGCAGCCTTGGAAGGGACTCTTAAGGGAACCCTGACAGGGACCCCAAGCTCCCCCAACCACTTAGATGCTTGGGTCGGGAGTTCAAAGCGCCTCTAAACCCTGCCCTAAACCCTAAACCTTGGACACTCCCACCCAGCAACAGTCCATGATAGGGCTACTTTTATGGGCCTTTTATTTTGCGTTATCAATCATATTCAACTGTTACTGGGTGGGGGGCAGTATCCAACCTAAACCCGTCCTTAAAGGAACCCTTGAGGAGTTTAGAGCGCTGCACGGGGCAGGATCTTCAACCCCGAACTCCGGAGCTTTGGCCACTGACGTCAGGGTTACACACTCGGCCGATGTCCATTGAACATTTACCCGTTTCCCGAAGGGTCTCAGTATCAATATGGTAGATACTTTGGGGGTCCATCTTGATATTTACCCTGAACCCATACATCCTAAACCACAGTTTGATGGACCCCTAAACCCTAAACCCCTAAACGTCTGATACTTAGGCCCTTCGGGCTTGGCCTGGAGAAGCGGCCAGCTGCGGAGCACTTCGAAGTGCGGCAGTAGGTATTTCGGACGCTTCGCGGCGAATCTCTGAAGTCATGAGGGCCTAGCTCTTGTAGGGTTTAGGGTTTAGGGGGTTTTCTGAAGTCATGAGGGCCTAGCTCTTGTAGGGCTCCTTTACGGGTTCAGTATAAAGGGATCTTTTAAGGGTGTCATTCTACTGTTCTGCGAAGGTTCTTTTCTGGTCTCAGATCTTCCAAAATCTTGTAATTATGGACTGCACCTTAAACCAGACTCAGATTAGGGATCCTACTCCAATTTCAGATTTATGTCCCTCAAGTAAGAAGGGATTTTGGACAACGTGAGGTTTGGGGCTTTAGGGTTTATGGCTCAACTACGATGCGTGGGGCTGCAGTATGCTGGGTGCTCTACTTCAAGGATCATGGGACTTAGTAACTAGGGTTATAATTAAGGTAGCTATACTTATTGTTACTTATAACTCCAATTACTTGGAGGGTCGGAAGACTTAGTAAGTAGGTAATAAGTAGAGTTATAAGTGCCCTAAGTGGGATCCTAATTGGGGTTATGGCACTTATAACTCTGTAGAAGTACCTACTTACTAAGTCCCCCGACCCTCCAAGTAAGGTACCTATAACCCTACTTACTAAGTCCCATGATCCTCCAAGTACAGAGGCCGCAGCTCACATGGAGGTGGCGTGCACCAGCCGAGCATTTCGCCACATCGCCTTGTCCTCGACAGCCATGCTTTCGGGCTGATGAGCAGATCCGGCTCATGGGGTTTAGGGTTTAGGGTTTAGGGTTAGGATTTAGGCAAGGTTTCGGTTTACAGTAGGGTTTACGGTTTAGGGTTTAGGATTTAGGCAATGTTTCGGTTTAGGTTTTTCTTTTTTAAGCGCCTCTGTTCCTCGGTTTAGGGTTTAGGGTTTAGGGTTTCCAGTACGGTCCAAGCACAAATGCCCTTGCCTGCCCCGAGCTGGAAACCTAAATCCCCCGATCCCAAACACTCAAGCCTCTGACAGCTGCAGCCTTCAACTCCGCAAGGGAGGAGAATCATATACACAATGTCCGGCATGGAGTTCACGGATTTAGGAAGCTGATGGTGTCTAAGCCCCAAACCCTCAACCCGAAAACCCCTAAAACCTAAACCTCAAGGTTTCGCCATGCCCCCCGTCTTTCCGGTGAACGTCGTGCCCCGTCCTTCTCGCAGAAGGAGAAGCACTGGGGACCGGCGCTCTGGGTTCCTTTCCGTGCAGAGTGAGGATTCCGGGTCCGCGCATTTGGTTTAACCAAAGCTAAGTCGGCTGAGTAAGGCTTAAGGGTTTAGGGTTTAGGGGCTTAGGGTTTATACTTTTTAGGGTTTAGGGGGTCTCTCTATAGGTCATTGTGAAGGCTTCGCTGATACCGGTAAGGAGCGCGAGCAAGACTGAGGATGCTAGTATTGCTCTTCTGGCTGCTGCTACCAGCGCCCTTCCAGCTCTGCAAGAAATTCCTGAGCCCTTGGTAGTTTGGGCTCCTGAACATCTGGGGGTAGGCTTTCGCGGCACCTGGAGGCTCGGAGTGCGAAAGTCTGAGGCGTTCTAAGCCCGTGGTTGTTCGGACATGATTCAAACCGCACAAAAGCGAACGTCGCATGCAAGCTCGTGATCACTCCCAATCCGAGGGCTGTGACGGCCTTCTTCGTACATGCCAAATCAACGGTTTGGGTTTAGGTTTGGGGCGTCGGTGAGGGTTTAAGGTTCAGGCTTTAAGGGTTTGGGGTCTGTAGGGTGTCCGTGCTTATCGACACGGACTAGGCTTTGTGCGCGAGTTGGCGACCCCCTATCCCCCCCCCCCACCTGCGTCTCCATTGCTGGCGTTGGGTACTTCGGCGTTTCCTTTGCCGGCAGGCGCACCCTCGGCCTTAGTGCTACAAGAAGGGGTCGATTGAGAATTTCCGACATCCCGTCCACATAGCATGAGGAATGAAACACTGTCTGTATTCTCTCTACTCAGTCCTAGGCTTCAGGCTTGCTTTAGGGTTAAGGGTTCAGGGTTTAGGCTGTAGGGTTTAGGATTTAGGGTTCAGGGTTAAGGGTTCATGGTTTCTAGGTTCCTACTCGGCTACTGGCCAAGTCTGGGACTTGGTAGTGCAATACGATGGGTTTTTGGGGAAAAACTTGATCGGGCAAGCTGCAAACTTCCAGGGTTTGGGAGTTAGGGTTTGAGGACTTAGGGCTTGGTAGTCCAGATCTAGACCCTCAGCCCTAAACCCTAAAGCCCTAAACCCTAAACCCTAAGGTT